TATATAACCATGGGCTTTCAAGCTTACTTAATTAAAGCCATTTTTCAGTAAAATTTATACAGAAAACATATAAATAGATACATTCCATATGTTATTTATATACATTTATACTATAACATATATATATACATATATATATATATGACAATTTCCTTTCTTACTGCTTTTACGGATACTTCAAGGCTATGTTGAAAAAAATTTCCATAAATGTTATCATTCAAGTCCAGTTTTTTAAATGTTTATTTATTTTTGAGCGAGGATAAGTCGGGGAGGGGCAGAGAGAGAGAGAGAGAGACAGAGAATCACAAGCAGGCTCTGCGTTATCAGCACAGAGCCCATGTGGAGCTCGAATTCATGAACCTTGAGATGATGACTGGAGCCGAAATCCAAGGTCGGAGGCTTAACTGGCTGCGCCACCCAGGCACCCCACATTCAAATCTATTTATCTTAACTATATCATACCAAATTGTTTCCGGGGTGGTTGTACAAATTAACACTCCCAGCAGCAGTGAGTATAAGTTCCTATTGTTCTACGACCTTTAAGCCATTTGCCATTGGCAGATAGCAAATTTTAGCCCTTTTGGCTAAGTTTTTGTGACGGCATGTTGGGTTTTTAATTTTGCTTTCTGTAACTACTACCACTCTGAATAATAAAAGAACATTTCCTTATCTTTTGGCCATTTGGATTATATTTTCTGTGAAGTATTTGTTTAAGCCTTTTTGTATTTCTAGTGAGTTGTCTCTCCCCACCTTTTTATTCACTTGTGTATGTTTTAATATTATATTTTTCATATAAACTATTTTCAGTTATATATGTTAAAAGTAACTTCCCTCCTTCTGAGTTTTCTTATGCTTTTTGGGGTGTTATGTGATTATCAGAAGTTTTTAATGCAGTACAGTCAATTTTTTCATCATTTCCTTATTGTTAGTTGTGTGTGTGTGTGTGTGTGTGTGTCCTTTTTAAAGGAAATTTTCCCTACTCTGAAATTGTGATTATATATCTGTGTATTGTCTTCTAAAAAGCATTATTTTATTCTCTTTTCAAATTTAAGTCTCTATCTGAAATTGTTTTGTGTATGATGCAAATGTTTAATTTCATTTTTGTCCCAGATGGATGCCCGATTGTCACATCATCATTCATATGATCATCCTTCCCTAAGGCTCCACAGGGACACTTACCTAATAAAGCAAGTGTTCATATATGTGTCTTTCTGGGATATCTGTTCTTTTCTGGTGGTCCTATTTATCTGTGTACTCTGGCATTTTTTTACCAGAGTAAAAGAATCTTTGAAATAATTTTGATCTAGGTGGTCCTTTAACTCTGTTCTTTATGAATGATTTGGTTAGTAGTTTTTTGTACTTTCACATATATTCTCAAGTTACACACACAATTTCTGTTGGGATTTTCATTTAACATAGACCACATCTGTGGTCTCTATGGGAACAATGAGCACATATAAGCTGTTGAATTCCGAATCTATTGACAAAATGTCTATCCGTTTATTTAGTTTTTCTTAATTTTGCCAGCTAATACTTGATAGCTTCACCACAACAATTTTGCATATATTTTATTAGGTTTGTTTCTAGGAATTTAAGTTTTACTGTATATATTTTTTTCAATATATGAAATTTATTGACAAATTGGTTTCCATACAACACCCAGTGCTCATCCCAAAAGGTGCCCTCCTCAATACCCATCACCCACCCTCCCCTCCCTCCCACCCCCCATCAACTCTCAGTTTGTTCTCAGTTTTTAACATTTACTGTATATTTTAAATGGGCTCTTTTGAAAAATATTTTTCAGGGGCGCCTGGGTGGCGCAGTCGGTTAAGCGTCCGACTTCAGCCAGGTCACGATCTCGCGGTCTGTGAGTTCGAGCCCCGCATCAGGCTCTGGGCTGATGGCTCAGAGCCTGGAGCCTGTTTCCGATTCTGTGTCTCCCTCTCTCTCTGCCCCTCCCCCGTTCATGCTCTGTCTCTCTCTGTCCCAAAAATAAATAAACGTTGAAAAAAAAAAATTAAAAAAAAAAAAAAAGAAAAATATTTTTCAGCTATTACTAGAATATAGAAATTCAACTAATTTTTGTATATTCATTTTTGTGCCAAGCACCTATACTACCTCTCTTAATAATTCTAGTAATTTATCTGTAAATTTTAGCAGATTTCCTACATAATCATATTATTTCAGAAAATGACAGCTTTGTTCGTATCTCTCTAATCTTTACAATTTTAATTTCTTGTATTTGTTTTCCTTCACTGAATAGAGCCTCCTGTACAATGCAGAATAGAAATAGTGATAAAAAGTTTCTTTGTTTTTCTCCCGATCTCCAAGACTTGCAATATTTTGCCCCGGTATCTGAAGGTATTCTGTACATATTTAGATCTTCTTCAGATTAGGAAAATTCACTTCTATTCCTACTTTGCTGAGAATTAAATCAAAGACATTTTCTTTCTTTACTGGGTGAGATTTCTTACCCCTTTATACAGCTAGTATTTCAAAGTAAATTGATTGATATGTGAACATGTATTTAACTTTGCAATCTTTGGCTGAACTCAACATAGAAACAGTATTGATGGATGATGTTTGCTATTTTATGTCCGTGAGTGATACTGACCTGTAATTTCTTTATACTGTACTTGCTCAGTGTGGGTGTCGTTATGGTATGTTATGCATAGAAAATGAATTAGAAAGTATTCATTTTTTATATTCTCTGGAATACCTTGTATAAGAATAGAAGAGCCGATTTCTTTAGTAGTTATAAAACCCTTCAGGCTTTTAATTTTTTCATATATAAACTTTGTTATATTATGGTTTCCTACACATTTTCTCTGCTTTATCTAAATTTAATTTGGCCATCACATTTACTCTTTTTAAGTTTATTTATTCATTTTGAGACAGAGAGGGCATGAGCAAGTGTGAGCAGGGGAAGGGCAGAGAGAGGGGGAGAGAAAGAATCTCAAGAAGGCTCCACACTGTCAGCAAAGAGCCCAATGTGGAGTTGGGCCCACGAACCATGAGATCATGACCTGAGCCAAAAGCGAGTTGGATGTTTAACCTACTGAGCCACCCAGGCTCCCCCTCACTTTTCTTTCTATCAGTGTAATCTGTAGAATCGTTTTCTCTTTTGAAATATCATCCAAATACAAATTTTCAATTGTTATTATTTTTTTATTATTTGTTTTCCTTTTTTTACATTTTGTTTGCTATTTCTTTTATTTTATTTTATTTTTTTTAATTTTTTTTTTCAACGTTTATTTATTTTTGGGACAGAGAGAGACAGAGCATGGAGCAGGGGGAGGGGAGCCAGAATCATCCTGGTCAGGCTGGGCTCAGGCTCAGGGCCAGAGCCCGACAGCGGGGCTCGAACTCTGGGACAGCAGATGGTCAGTCGTGGGAAGGAGAAGGAGCCACAGGCTGAAATCCGGACAACAACAAACTTCACGCCACCAAGCGCCCCAATGTTTGTTTATTTTTGAGAGAGAGGAAAAGCACGAGACAGGGAGGGGCAGAGAGAAAGGGAGACACAGAATCTGAAGCAGGCTCCAGGCTCTGAGCTGTCAGCCAGAACCTCAGACGCCCATGGGCCAAATCATCTAACTGCAAGATCATGACCTGAACCAGAGTTGGACACTTAACCAACTGAGCCAGTGAGATGCCCGTTCCCCAATTTTTTTTTCAAATATTGCATAACTTTGACAACTTGTGTTTTTTTTTTTTTTGGAAAAATGTCTTAGTTGCTCTTAGTGGGAGAGTTAGTCTGAATTTCCCAGACCGCCATTACCAGAAACAGAAGAGTGTATTTTCTCTTCAATTATTTCCATCTTCAAATGCATACCTACTTCCAATTACGATACTTCTCATCTGTCTTATACCCCAGCTTTCTCTGCAGACCTTGTCCTTTCAAATTAGGGGTGTTTGTGAAGCAGTCAATTTCCTCTTTATTTCTTCTGGTGCCATGTTAGTCTTCCGAAAATAGTTACAATTTTAATGTTAGTGCCAGTCCTTTTTTTTTTTTTTTATTCTGAATATATCTATACCATATTCAACACAAACCCTTCAGAATTTTATTTCCTTTGGCCTTTTGGATCGGAATTGTTATGCAAGGTGGAAAATATTAGATGTTTGTCATTATCTTAAAATTCTGCTTCTGACATATTTGCCTCCGTCTGCATGTATGTGTGTTCACACTTGGGAGTTTTTCTCACATTTCTGCAAAATTTAATTTTATTATTGCTCTGCTAGCTCTAATAAGAAAGCAGTAGTTGTTTGCACTGCCCCCTCACACTTGTACCTCCTGGTCTCTGAAGCTTCTGACTATTATAAGAGAAATTAATGTCTGCGGTAGCAAAAGATTGAAGTTGCCTTCATTACTTAGATCAGGAATTAAAACAGAGGAAACACCATCTAGATCCAGGAAATGTGTTCAAATCATGCCGCAGTTCACTGGGTCACATAATCTCTTTTCTGTCTGTAATCATTCTGCTCTGGAGCCAACATCAGTAAGACACTCGCTTGTGTCGCTCTCAATTCTGGTCTTCGTGTCTTCACTCCTTATTTGCTACCGACAGGAATATGATCTCAAGCCTTCCGTTTCTTTTTCTCTGATTCCAAGGCTGAGTGTGAAAAGTGTGCCACTCTTTTTCTTCCATCTCCTGACTTCGTATTTCCTCTCCTCTCCCAGCCCTACACTTTCCAGAGGTTATAGACGTCGTGCCTTCTAAGAATTCTCAGCAGCATGATGCCTGACTTCCCTCATATGCAATGTTTAGTACAATATGGATTTCCCCTTTACTTTCTCTATCTGCATAACATTACAACACTCAAGATCAAAATGCATTTTTATTTTATTGACTATTAGAGATTTTCCAGGGAATGCGTGTTTTGGATGGGGGGGGGGGAACGGGAGGTGGAATTTGTGATGAGAAAAGAAATAAGGACTAAAGTGATGCATATTTGTGAATTTCTCATGCCCTCACCAGCTCTGCTTCTCTTTGTTGCAGACTTCTCCATTGTGGTCGGGGTGCTGTTCCCTGTGGCTGTCATATTTGTGGTGGTTGCTATAGTAATCTGGCACCAAAGCCCCAGACGAAAGCAGAAGAAAGTCCAGAGGTAGCCTTCTATCTTGCTTTGGGGACTTTTTGGCCTCTAATTTATTTTAAATTTAAGGAGCTGACCCAAATTCTCAAAGTTAATTAGGGTTCCCTTCAAATACTCTGAAACGAGTCCAGATGCATTTTTTCTTGGACCAGATGCTGGGTGTCAGTTTTACTGGGAAATCCTGCACAGTAAGACATGTCTTTTTGTGTTGATCACTGTATTTATAATTAATAAATACAATTAATAATATAATTAATAGTTATTCTATTTATTTTATCTATCTATTCTATTTATTTATAATTAATAAATATAATTAATAATATAATTAATAGAGTTAGTCTAACTCTCATCATTAAGGATTTTACACCCATTGTAGGAACAAAATATGTAACAATTATCGGTCGCTAGCTTATGACACGTGCTGTGCTAAGTCTTTTTGCATTCATTATCTCTAATCTTCACAAGAAGGTTGTGAAGTGCTAACTGTTAATGCCATTTTATAGATGAAAAGGTATTGTATATTAATTCTTACAACACTCTTGCAAAGCCAGGCACTTTACACTTGTCCTAAAGTGGAAGCAAACGTTCAGAGAGGCTAAAAATATGTTCAAAGTTTTACAAAGTAAATCGGTGGAATCTGGATTTCCACCTAGATTGCCTCGTCTTTCAAACACGGTCTTGACACTGTAGCGTCTTTCTAGAACTTTTAAAACACTGACTTACTCACATGTAATGGGTTTTCCTAAATATTGAGTGAATAAATCATTAATGAAATAACATAATTTTTACAATCGTTGATTCAGTGCCATCGTTATTAGGAATTCAGGGCTCTGTAGAGAATCACAAAGAAAATTCGTGGTGGTGATTATGAATTCCAGGACAAGGAAACCTTAAGAATGTCCTAGAGAACAGAAGAAAGGCCAGTCAATGACCAAAGATGATGCAACAGGCAAAGGAAATTGGCAAACTTCTCTTGAATGTCCTCATCATGGTGAAGGAACTGCTAAGTCAATGTATATGATATGCTTTCATATACAGGCCAGCATCTACCACTGGCACCAGGCCTCGCAAACAGAAGAAGAACCCACAGACGGTGAAGGCTGTACGACCCCAAGAGGTGAACCATAGTTGGTACTGTGTTTGCCTTGGGCCCCGGTTCATGATTCTCTCATTGTCTCTTCTATCGTTCCTACTCAGCGGCGTTTTACAAATCCAGTCCACCAGTTAGTATATAGTAAGAATTTGGGGCTCCGTAACTACACATTCAGAAATTTCTCCTTTGCCTTTGTTTTAAATCCCAAAGAGTCTTCCCAAAATGCAGAGGCTCCTTGCTGAAGTTCACAAATGCAAAGAAGTAAAGAGAACAAGGAAGGCAGACTCCAGATCCCTCTCTCTCTCTCTCTCTCTCCCCCCAACCCACACACACTGACTGTAGGTGGACCCTTTCCCTTTTGCAAATGTCCCAATAAAGACAACGATATGTATAGTTCCATGACAGCATATATAATATGTATAACCCTTAAAGCCCTGGCTGTGTCTTGCAAGTTTAGAAATTCGGGCAGAGGTTGGTTAATGGCAATGCCATTGGCCGTGATGTTTAATGGAAACTTACCTGTCTCTAACAGCTCTGGTTACAGCAGAATGCAGCAGCGGGGCCACTGTGATTTCCTGTCTGGTCTCTTGTGTCATCTCAGTTTCTGATCTCCCGTGTCTTGAGAGGACTGCTTATTTGGAAGTTAAACTTAGGAAACCGATCATTTCATTTTAAGATATTATTATTATTATTATTTTTAGATGACTCGGATGAAGCTCCATACACCTGATCTGCCAGTAGAGGGCACTGAGCCTCCAGCTTCTTTCGTGAGTTAGCAACCTCTCTTAAATATCGCTTCCAATCTAATCGCAGGGAAACACTAGCAAGAGACATAACCCACAATAGCCCATTGTTTCCTCAGAAGAATGTGAAAATCTGTGCGAATATTTATATGAAAGCTAGATTTTCCTGCAAAACTTTTTGAAAATGCAAAATGTGAGAAGGTGGGCTTTTCCACTACATTCCTACGTTTAACCTCTGAACCTGAATTATGGCGGCAGGAAAAGTTGGTAACTTAATAATACGAGAAGAGTAGAAATCTGCTGTATAGAGTGCTGTCTTCGTCGTCTGTCTACTGGCGCTGAGCTTATTTCTGAATCGCACGTGCATACCTAAATGAAAGCACTTGAACTTACAGCTTTAGACGATTTTCATGGGCAGGATCATGAGTTCACCATGTCTAGAAATGATTGAAGCCTTTCCATTCAGCACATCTCTTTTCAAGGCCCCATCTTTGCATTATTTTTTATTTTATTTTATTTCTTTTACCTTTTCACTAGCTAATTACGAAGCCAGATTTTCCACCGCCCCCAATACCTACAACCGTGTCCACTTCCTCTTTCCTTGTAAGTATCAGGTAGTCACTAGTGACTCCTTAAATGTCATCTGGGCTGGATGTGAATGGCGTCTGTAAATCTATAGATTCTTTCTCAGGATATGTGCTCCCTAGGTCAACCTGAGGTATTGTAGCACACAGGTATATCTGAGAAAGCAAGGCCTACTTACTATCTATAAATTAGTATGGGTATTAATTTTTTGTTGTTAAAAATAATTCTTTTATTTTATTTAAAAAATTTTTTTTTATTATATGAAATTTATTGTCAAATTAGTTTCCATGCAACACCCAGTGCTCATCCCAAAAGATGCCCTCTTCAATGCCCATCCCCTTCCCTCC